CGCCTGCCCCCCGTGTGCCTGTCTTTTCTCCTCCTCTCTCTCGCATCTCTGCGGGCAGCAGGGACCCACCAGTGGGAGGAACTGGGAGGTGTTGGGGAACCCCGGGGGCCCACTGGGCAGGGGCAAGTGCCCCAGTGCACAAGAGTTTTCCTGCTCATCCAAACACATGGCTTTCGAAAGCAATAAAATTTTATTCCTTCTTTTTAAGTTTCGTTGAATCCTAGAATCTTAGAGTGGTTTGGGTTGGAAGAGACCTTTAAAGGTCATCTAGTCCAAGCCTGCCCTGCAAGAAGCAGGGACACCTTCAACTAGATAAGGTAGCTCAGAGCCCCATCAAGCCTGACCTGGAATGTTTCCACTCCTCTGGGCAATATGTTGCAGTGTCTCACCACTCTCATTGTAAAGCATTTTTTCCTTATCTCCAGTCTAAATTTACCCTCTCACAGTTTAAAACCATTACCACGTGTCCGATCGCAACAGCCCTTGTAAAAAGTTTGTCCCTATCTTTCTCATGAGCCTCCTGTAAGTATTGACAGGCTGCAGCAAGGTCCGGCTGTGGCTGGATGTCAAGCTGCTTGCCAAGAAACCAGCCCAGAACACTAGGCTAACTCGTGGAGAGCAAGGACACAAAGCCAGAGGGTGTTGCTGTGGCTGACGGAGCCAGTGTGGGCTGTGCTGCTTCTGCGTGTCACCGTGCTTTGTGCAGGAAGGTTGACACTGCTTGGGTCTGCCTGGCTTAGCTGACTTGCACATCACGGCCAGCGTGCCGCGGCTCTAACCAGATGGGCTCTACAGCACCCAAACACGTGCCTACGGCCTGGAGTAGTTATGTTCTCTGGTGCGTGTTCTTTGGGAGGGAGCAGGTGGCAAACAGCTGTGGAGAGCAGGGTGGCAGTGCACTTCCCCAAGAGGTTCTGATGCCACGCTTGTTTGTTTCCTGCTAGCTGTTAGCAGGCAGCGCTGGGAGCCAGGCGCTGGAGCCTGCCATGGGGCCTGTGCACCCTCATCTCACAAACAGAGCATTGGTGTCTGATCCCAGCTTCTGCCTCTCTCGTGGGCAAGGTGAGCACAGCAGGCACTACGTCGGCTGCTGCGCTGGTGGCGACTTGCCCTCGGTTCTTGTAGTTGACATGTGCCGCTGGCAGCCATGAAATTAGTCCTCCTTCTCGTCCTGCTGGCCCTGTGGGACACTGCGGGTGAGTGGCCCGAGGCTCTGGCAGGGAGCTTGGGCAACCCTTCTGGGCTCACTGGAGGGTGCCCACGTGTCCCCTGTGGCCACGCCACAGCTTGTTAAACCCTGTCTGGGAGCCTTGGCTCCTTGCCAGCACCCGGGCTGCTAGCACAGCTCGTCGGTGGGGCTAAAGCAGAAGCAGGGGCGGATGGACGCACGTGCCATGGGGTTCCCTGGCCCTGCTGTCCATTCAACGGGGATCGTGGGGAGGGAAGATGGCTGACTTTCAGCTGGAACAGCAGCAAGCCACGGAGCAGGACAGTAATGAGCTTATGGTTACAGAGGGACCTGCGGCTCCGGCACATGGATTATCACTATGGCACGTCGCGTGTTGTGGGTGGCAAAGATGCCCAGCCAGGGGCTTGGCCCTGGATCGTCAGCATCCAGGACCCCTGGGAAAGAGGCACGGGGCATGTGTGTGGAGAGTCCCCACCCATCAGCCCACAGTGGGTCCTCACGGCAGCCCACTGCTTCATTGAGGGGAGGTAAGGAAGACGATATTCCCACAACACTAGCAGGTGCACCGCCCGCACCCCCACTTGCTCCTCCCATCCCCTTTCCTTGCAGTCCACCCAGTGCCTGGGCACTCCCGAGCTCAGCTGAGAGACGGACAGCTCAGGAGAAGGCTTGGCTCTTGTCAGCCTTCCTTGTGCCTAAGGCATGCTGCAGCAGTTGCACCCTCCGTAGCGCCGCTTTCCTCTCTCCCGTGGGAAGGAGAAGGCAGGGAACTGCTGGGCTGCTGCAGCACGTGGCTCCGTTCCCTCTGACCCCTCTCTCCATCTGCCTTCCAGGCATGTCAGCATGTGGCACGTGGTGATCAGGGCCACCCGCTTGACTCAGCCGGGCCCCGAGACCCAAGTGCGGCACATTAAGCGGGTGGTGGTGCACAAACACTACCGTAACATCTCGGAGCGCAACAACATCATGCTGCC